GGATTTCACATGTCTTTTCACCACTGCAGTAACACTCATGTTACATATTTGTGTCACTGTCGATTACTTTTGTAAAAATAAAAACTTCAATTTCGTTTTATTAATATTATTATGGATGAGAAATTATGATCATCAATAAACATGGCATTCTGATATTCGTTATGGTTGGAAACTTGTTGAAGTCGTTTTGAATTAGGCTCTTGTGAAAATATATATTCAGTGTGAAACATAGGTAGATAAGGATTCGATTTTGATTCAGTGGCTCAGTTTATGAAGAGATTTAATGTTATCTGTGATAGACTGTGAAATTGAGGTGTTAGTTACTTGAAACTAACTATGAGAATTCAGGTCATAATCATGAAAATGGTTTCACCTCAGAACTATTTGTTGAGCAGAGGTCTTAGCCGACCGATTAATGAATATCAACGCTCTTGTTTAGTTAAATAATTTCATTTTACCTATTTTCTGTTCTCGATGTATTTTTTTTCTTATTCCTTGGCCTTGGCAATTGTTGGCAATTTACGGTCAGACCGTAAGTACATGTTTTGTTGTCATTTAAAGCATATCTATTTGCGGATAGACTGACTATCACGACAAAATGGACGCACTAGTTAACGACAAACAAACCTACGAAGAACTCAAACGTGACCTGACTTCTGCGCTTCAACGCAAACTTAACAGCACATTACTGACTCTCAAGAAAACAAACACCATTGACAACCAACGCTACTACCGACTTAGGTGCTCAGTACAACAGCCATCGAAACTTTTTTAATTTTATTTTTTATTTTATTTTTTTTTATTTTTTTACGTTTTTTTGTTTTTTGCCATCGAAACTTTATGGTCTGCCGAAACTACACAAACCTGGATTCCCAAAGCGACATATTGTTTCTTTCTGTAGTTCTCCGACATACCAACTGTCCAAGTACCTGACGACAATGCTACAGCCGCTCACCGACAAATCCAGACGTAAACTACAATCCACCGAGGACTTTATTAACGCCATTAAGACTGTACAGATACCAGACGACTACAAACTAGTGTCATTTGATCTGAAATCGCTTTTTACAAGTATTCCACTTCAACTGGCACTACAGTGTACTGAGACTGCTATCCTACAATCTACCGACCCTCTACCGCTACTGACAGAGGACATTATGGACTTACTAAACCTTTGCCTGACGTCAACTTACTTTCAGTACAACGGTAAACACTACAAACAGTTACACGGTACGGCTGTAAGGTCTCCAGTTTCTGTTGTTGTAGCAGAAATTGTGATGCAGAACATCGAGGAAAGCGCCCTTTCGACTTGCCAACAAACGATACCGCTTTGGTTACGCTACGTTGACGACACTTTCACTGCCGTACGACACGACGAAATCGACGCATTCCACCACCACCTAAACGAACGAAACACCGACATACAGTTTGCTAGAGAGATCGAAGAAAATGGTAAACTACTTTTTCTACACTGCCGGGGAAGCCGTGACGACAACTCACTATGGACAGCAGTTTACAGGAAACCGACAAATACCGACAGATTACTGGACGAGTTATCCTACAACCCGACATTACACAAAGCCACTACTATCAGGACTCTTACGCCACGAGCGCAACTAGTATGCAATACGACAGACAGCTTATCCGACGAGAACAAGTACCTTGACCGTGTTTTTTCAAAGAACAACTACAACGAAGACCTCATCCAACGCAACACTCACCGACCTACTACTACTACCGAAGCTAACGACAACGCAACTCCTACGACCACAATAACTATACTATACATAAAGGGCATATCTGAGAACATCTCGCGCATCCTACAACCATTCAATATCCGCGTCGCTCACAAACCTATTACCACACTACGTCAGTTACTGACTAACGTCAAAGACGAACCGAGGAACAGACAGGGAGCAGTGTATAGGATCAATTGCTCCGACTGCCACGCCTCCTACATCGGTGAGACTAGCAGAAATCTCACAACTAGACTGACTGAACACAAACGAGCGACAAGGAAGGGTGATGTCAACAATCACATTGCTGAAGTGTGAGACTTACGAACCACACTATCGACTGGGACTCTGCGCAATGCCTAACCTACAGCACCAACTAATTTCAACGACTGACCTTGGAAAGCTGGTTTACTAACTTGGAACAGACTCCCCTCAACAGGTGTCAACCACTACCGGCACCATACAAACGACTAATTCACGATATCAACTTTACAAACGAACCGAACAGAACGACCTAACTTCACTAACGGATCGAGACCAACCAAACACGACCGACCTACGCCACTTGAGTCTTACAGCCAATAACATCACGGCAAAACTGACCAATCAGTTTATACAAACCGGACTTAGTACATTGGACTGACAACAACTATTCACTTGACTCTGATGATGACTTCCACTCAGGTTGTCGAAACGTCAGTCACCACTACCGACATCAGTCCTTCTCAGCACTACACTCTTATTCCCCCCCCCCCCCCCACCCAAAATGGATGAATTTAATTTCAAACCTCAAACCGGCTCAGTACTGCATCAATAAAATATTTAAACTAAGTCCTGTATTTAGGCGATTTCAAAATGGATGTAATAAAGTGGTAATTGAACCTCGGGTCGTGCAATTTTGGTCTGAAATCATACTTGTGATTACAAATCGAACTTCGATTTTGAAATCTCTCATATGATTGGTAAGTTGAATTTAGTTTATCTCGCGCAATTCTCATTATTAATAATCATGCTCAAGACAATTAAATTTTTCTTTAGTACTTAAGATCCCACTTACAACCGGACCACGAATGAATTGTTTACTCTTTTCGGAGGGCACGTCGATTAAGTGTTGTAAAAACAAAGCTAGTTTATCATCACGGCGAATTAGAACAACGAAAAATCACTGAAGCCTCAAGAATCTCATATTCAAAGCAAACATTTGGCATCCAGGACTGGAAAACGCACGTGATCATGTGAATCAAATTTGCTGAGGAGCTGTAGTACAGAACGAGGCGTAGCAAAACTCCAATGTTACGAAGGATTATTTCTGAAACACCCCTTGAAAATCGCTTTCGCTTACAATAATACAGTTTCAACCGATGAAATTTACGCTGACATCCATCAATGTGTTTTAAGTTTACATTTATGCTTTATTTTGAATTTTGAGCTCAACTCGTCCTTATGGTATATTTTTATTGGTAAATACTCCCATGCATAACTGGCCCCTCATCCTGTGATCTGCTGGTGACAGCTGACGAGGAACATTCGATTCAGCAACGCTAACTTTCTCTACTTCCTGATAGCGACTGAATCTCGTCCAAGACTGCAAACAAAAAAGTTCACGGTGTCTACCCTAGAATCATTATAAGATCTGACAAACGCAGAACAGAAGTAAAACAAAGTTTAACACAAGTAATTCAAGAGCTGGTCATACCGCGCATGAAATGAGTCAAACCCTTAACGGGAAACCGGCGTGAACGATGTTAAACAGAAAGTTAGAAATGCAATCCATCCTTGATAATTCTCTTAAGTTTCTGGAGAATCTTCTTCCAACATCACATCCTTCTTTGAGAAATGTCAATTTAGGCGCTAATGCTCGCTTTCCATGTGTTGAGAAAGTACTGGTACCTAATTCCTTTCCTAAAAGTGGGTTAGATTTTTACAATGAATTGTTATTTCATAACTTAAGCTATGTTATTTAGATCATTAACTGCTCTTCCTTTCTTATCTCATCTTTTCTGTCTAGCCGAAAAGGAAGGTAACTACCAGTATCATCCGTTCCTATAAATAAAGAACTCTCCTGTGGCTCAATATACACTATTGACTCTCTGCACTGGCTAATTACTGATCAGCAAATTGCAATCGTAAATAGCAAAGAATTATCTGCGCGTGTATCAATGACAGTTAGTAATAGCTGTTAATGTTATAATGTTACTATCCAAACGATTTTACTGATGTGGACGGTATTAGTATAAAATCAGTACCTAAGTTCTGTAATAAACGATATTTGTATAATTATCATCAGATATCAGTCATAATTGGCTGATTGTTTGTTTGATTTAACAAATTCTGTTACATAATTCTCGATTTCAATGTAAATATTGACGTACCAAACAAACTGGTTGGTTCAAATAAACAAATGAATAGATAAATGGATTAACATCTTTTTCAAAATTGTTTTTCTCTTTCACGGCGTTCTTTTCGGATTCAGAAGCGGGTGAGTGAGACGAGTTCAGTTTGTTTGTTAAGCTTATGATGTGTTAGTCAAGAATTTCAAGGCTATATTAAGCCACTAATTTACTCATCGAATGTAAATCTTTCTTTTCATGTTCACCTAACATCCTCATCCTAATTGATATAACAGATTGTAAGTAGCCGTGCTTGAACTATCATTTATCAGTAGGCAGGATAAAGGGTCGATAGAGATGGTTGAACAAACGAATGGATCCCAATAGAGGGATTCACACAAGATACTCTTCTCTGTTGATCAGAGGATGTGTGGACAAAGATGTTGCATAGAAATAAAACTTTTAATCGTTACAACAATTGAATTTCAACGTTTCAGGCCTCTGCTATATACTGGTGGAACTTTTACAGTAAAGTTGAAAATTAAAAATTGAAAACGCTAAAATCCTAGTTTGTTCCTTTTAACACTTTTGCACAGTCATCCATTTGAGCAATATAAAACAATGTCCCTCTCCTTGGCTTATAATATGATAAATCCCTGACAGATGTTGAGAGAACACCAATGATGCTTATAAATAGGGAACTGTAAGTTGGGTGATTTGTAAGCTTCAAGCCATCAATCTTTTTAACTTGGAGATGTTAGTTCGAAGTCCCCTTGGAAATTAGAAGCTGGGTATATCAACGATAATAATTACGTAATTTGGTATCCTTTATGGCAAGCAGCAGATTAATGCAGCAAAGGAAGTGAAGCGCATAGGTAGAGTGATAATATGACATATGACTCTTTGCGCACAACTCATTGTTTTCAAAGGTTGTATGGCGTGGTCATCTTGGAGCGGCGTCTGCAAAGAATGCAACCAGTACCGGGAAAGAGTTGGTAAGTGACGAGGGAGTTTTGTTGAATTTGTGACTCACAAGTGCAATGGCGGGTTTTCGCCATTGTTTTACAACTTCAAAAATCTATACAGAATTTTAAAACTTTTATTCAAATGGAAAACTATTATGTATAGATTGTAATGATAATTAGACAGGAACCTTCAGCAGTTATTTTCAAGGGATGTTTTCTTAAATAGAAATAAGATGACTTAATCTCCAACCGTTTATTACTTTTAAAATATTACCTGGATAACCTTACTTCTAGAATTTGACTGCTCAAGAACTCGGGAATCAAAGCCTTGTGAATGTAAGTGGTTTTAGATATGAGGAGTAAGAAAAGGATTCATTTTTTGGTAGAAAATGCTGCACAGATATCCTTCAACTGTCTTTTATTAACCGTCAAACTCTTTGTTAAATATACTTTGGTTTTACCAACAGAGTTGGTAATTTAGATTGGCCACCGTAAAAAGTATCAAAGCTGACGTTTCGAGGGTTAGCTCTGACGAAGCGCTAACGGTCGAAACGTTAGCTTGAAAAATCTTTGCGGTGGCTATTTTACACTTTCAACTTAGTTCATAAGACCCGAGAGATTTTGGAAACCTACCCCCCTTTTTCTTTGTAAAAAAAACAAAACAAAACAAAACAACATGATTCGCACTGAATTGAAAAAACTTATTTTTTCTGCAGGAGTTTCATTATTACCGATTAGACGCTAGATTTACGTTTTGTCACAAAAAACAAAGGCAATTTTTCTTTCCTAGAAAAAGAAAGATCATTACAGTTTCATGTTGAACAGGCGTGATTTTCGCGAGTGGGTGCGAAGTATTTTTCCTAGGTGAGAATCATGGCTGCAAGCTTTGATTTTTACAGCAGGGGGGAGCTGGGGAGAGAAAGACAGTTGCACTAAGATTCTGAACGACGGTTAAGGGAGTAGAGGGGGAGGGGATGGGGATCAAGTTTTATATAAATCATTATTTTCCTTTTCAAAATTAAAAAGGTCCCCCTGAAATTAATTCTCGGCGAGAGAAGTCTGTCAAATTTATTCAATCCTTCAAGTGAATTGTGTTGTGGAGGGTTTTCCTAAGCTAGAGGTGAATTAGACAAGAGATGGAAAGCTACCTGACACCACGAACAAGCTCACTATTAAGCAAGTGACTTATGAAGACGCTGGTCAATATACATGCACCGCTAAGAACAGTAAATGAAAAAACGAAGCAAGCTTTTACTTTTTCTCTTCTAGTTACTCTTCATTTTCTGTTTTTTTCTAGTATTTTCATCTTTTTCGAATTGTGCTTGTTTATTCCATCCCCAGGTCTTCCTGGAATTAATCCTGAGCTCAAGAATCGGTCGATTACATACAATTCATCTCTTCAGTTAAATTGCTCTCTAAGCGGTGTCCCTACACCTGAAGTACTCTGGACTAAGGGTGAGATCGATCTTGGCAGAAAGAACACTCTCATGATTCGTCAAGCGAGGTTTGAAGACTCTGGCGAATACACATGTAGCGCTAAAAACCTCATAGGAAGCATCAAATCAACCTTTTGGATTGAAGTGAAAGGAGGTACAGTTCTCATTCATATAAACGAGAAGGAGTTCTGGTTCATAATTGAAACAAATGTTCGATTATTTTTTTCATTACTGAAAAGTAATTTTTTTTCATTACTGCAAAAATTAAAAAAAAGACGATTCTCATTTTCCTAATCCGATCTACGGATTTTTAAAACACATAAAAAAGAAAGTTAATTTAGAATCCAAAAATTATTTACAATGAGGCAATGATGACATTTTAAAAAACGAGTTTAAAGTAACTGGTAGAACAAGCATTATAGCACAACTCAGAGAAAACGTACGCTCTGATTGGTCAAAAATCTATCGACTATTGTCTCTGTAAACCCATAGAAAACTGAAATATTTTCCTCCCAGAGAAACGAAGCCATACTGGACGATATCCCAGATTTTAGTTTATCGAAAGCCTTAGCTTTAATGGAATAGAGGAGGACGCTTTTAATGCCGCGATAAAAACGAGCAAAATGTTGTTTTCTTAACATTTATTAAGTTTTCTATTTATAAAACGTAGTTTAACGAACTATTCGCGCCATTTTAAGCTTTAAATTTCGCTTTCAATTCGCTACATCCCAATAGGAATTTGCTCACAATTTTACCGTATCAGCCCATGGAAAACCATTTGAAATGTTTTTCGAGGTTTCTACTTGAGATTCATAACCTCTTGCAGCGCAGAGCTATAACGCCTACTTTGTTTTCTCATTTTAACGTTGGGTCTCGTATTTATGCTGAAATTTTTATTTTAATCACTGAGCAGCGCCCAAATCATGTCACTCGAGGTTTTCTAAGCCCCAGAATAAAGGTGAGAACAGGCTGGCACGGACTCCCCATCTGGCTTTTGTGGTCGTGTCGCATTATAACCTTCAAATTATATTTTTTCTCCCAAGGGCGTGATTTTCCCTTTTTGTAAGAGATGATCGGAAGTTTTGTAAAGATTGATTCCAGCAAGGGCTGACTCCAACGTTCCATCGATATTTGTTTTAAATTTTTAACGGCCGAGTGGTACGTTGTGACCTTCTGGCTTTTGTTTATGCGTAAGAGCCGATTGCCTAGAGGCAAAGTTGACCCTTGACAGCGACCTTTCTATGATGTTCTGAAGGTACCCTCTTGCTTTGAGATGTTGTTTAAATTTTAAAAGGCCCTCCTCTAATATTTCTTTCGGAGAGTTTGTTCTGAGCAATCTCATTGCTTCGCCTTTAAGGAAACCATGCTTTACGCCTGGTGGGTGGCACGAGGCGAAGTGCGTAAATTGGAAGGTCTCTGTCGGCTTGTTATGGGTTTTGGATTTTAGCAAATCTCTCTCCTCTAAACACTGTGATATCGAGGAAGGTGATTTGGTTCTCTGATATTTCGGTCGGGAATTTGATACCAGGATGGAAATAGTTACCTCGTTTAATATCCATCTACTTCTTCTCTGTCTTAACCAAAAGGGAGAAAACGTCTTCAATGTAACGTTTCCTATCTCTTGGCCTGGTTTCGCTTTGTTAAATTGATTTCGTTTCAATTTCCTCCATGGAAATATTGGCAAATGACACTGCCCATTTTCGTTTGGGTCGGGGAAGTTCTCCTCATTGAATTGGAACAAATTTTCTTGAAAGATTAAGCCAAGCATTTCCCTGAGGTAGTGCGTTGGGATCAGTGCGTTATGGTTGTTGAACTTTTCGTATTCTTCGTTTTTTTCTTCTTGCGGTATACTTGTGTACAAACTAGAAACGTTCATTGATATTAGAGTAGTATCTTTGCCTACCTTTGTTTTTTCTACGAAATTGATAAAAGCAGTGGTATCCTTCATATAGGATTATTGCAATTGCGCCATAGGCTGGATCAGTGTCTCCACAAAAGATGATATTCTCTCAGTAGGGCTGTCGCCACCTGAGATTATAGGTCTACCGACCGGTATAGGTATATGTATTTTCGTGAGCTTATAGAATATTGGTATTCTAGGCGGATTGGGAGTTTGTGAAAGCCATTTCTTAGACATGTCATCAATGTGTTTGCCTTGACGCATTTAGTCAATGACCTCTTTTCTGCATGTTTTTCACTGTCGGTGCTGTGAGAGGTTGTAGTTATTCATGATGACTGTTGTACCTTTGTCTGCTTTTTTAAGGTTTAAAACAGAATTGTTTTTCAACTCTTTTAAAGCCATAATCTCATTGCGTAACAAATTATTTTTGGCTTAGTTACAGTAATCTCTGCAAGTTGTGTTTTGACATTTTCCTAGTCGCTCTCAAGGGCAATAGAAGGCTGAACTGGTGGTATCCAGTTGGATTTAACATGAAACGGATGTGGTTCTTTGTTTTGTCCGTGAAAGATGTATTGGAGGCGCATTCGTCTTGTAAATTGTTCAAAATCTTGGAAGAGTTGTTGCCTAATTTTACATTCGTTTGTCACGGGTGTTGGGATGAATTTGAGACCTGATAGCATGCTGACTTGACTGTCAGAAATTTGATAGTTTAAGAGATATTTTAGGAGTGTTTCTGAAAGCCTATATTTTAGAGTGTGTCTACGCTCTTTGCGTCTTGTGCTTTTTGTTCTGCTTCCGCCGTTATTAAAGCCAGCTTTTTTAGAGTCAGAGAACATCTCATGTTACCGTTTCATTACTCGCGTATAATTACATCACATTCTGAAGTTCCTGTGTCAACGCGTGCTCGGGGGTGGGAATAAATTAGTTCATCATGGCTGCGCATGTGTTCTTCGTCAATCTAAAAAAAGTATACTGCTTAACATGGTGTCAGGACCGGTTTTTACAGCGAGCCAGCTTCTCGTAGACACCACTGAATAGCTTCTTCGGCAGCATCTCAAACCTTCATCAACATTTCACAATTGCACCATTCCGAAGCATGAAAGTCTATCCTCGATGTACAAGCCGTGCGACCAAACCGTGACCATCTCCTGGTAACGGCTGTGGTCACGGTTTAGGACCAGATTTCATGAATAATATTTACTCGAAGGCTACAAAAACCCCGCTAAAAGCAGACTAACCGAGACTGGGGACCACTACTCGCCACTCGTCGCTAAGAGAGCCTTCAAGTTAGCAATTCCTGCAACTGAATGGGAAGCCTTACACTTTGGGTTTGGCTTCAAAAAATCAAAGAACATTACGCTGGTGTATGTAGTTTGATGCAAGACCGCTACCACTTCTGAGCAAAAATGTCACAGGCAGACGAAACCTCCATTTCAACGTAAGAAACCGCTGTACGTACTGCCGTCGGGCGATGATCGTTTGGTGTGAACGCGGTAGAATTTATGAGGGGTAAGTTTCTCTTCGGTCTCAACGAATCCTTCAGTCGCTTCCGAGAAGATATATTTTACAGAGATGGCCAACGAAAACCGCAGGATCCCCTTTTCACCCCAGTCTTCGTGTTGAATCAAGTTATATCGTTTGAGGCGGCATAAAATACAAACAAGCTTTTGGCTAATTCCACCACAGAAGAACAATTTCACTCCCAATTCCACGACAGCGCACAAATTGGTCCAAAAACCTCCGGGCAGATCAAGACCTGGAACCTTCTCCAACAGATCTTCCTTTTTCTGTGGCACCAAGTAGCAACAGTACCGTGATATATGCCCAGCTTCAGGCCAGTCTTGTAGATGTTGTCAAAAATCTGATCACTTTGCAGGCGTCTATCAACAGGTTGCCAAAGACAACCGAGCCTCCAGACCTGACTCCCATAAACCTACCCCACCGGGTCCCAGAAGGGAACAGGTGAGATTGGTGGAACAAGAGGAGCACTCCTACACCCTTCCAGAGGAGGGCATACAGTATGATAACTGCTTCAGCCTCTCAAGCGGGTAACCCCCTGACTTTGGCGTCCCTACAACGGCCCCACCCTCTGGCAAAGGCAATTTCGTCTTGCTTCTTTTGGAGGAACCAGACTCACACTGCAGAGCGCAAATTCCTTTCCAAATAGATTCAGCAGCCTCTCACAACACACTTCTATCCTGCCACCTGTCCAGCATGCCCTGGGCCAAGATTCTACCATCCAAAACTGTGATACCACTCTATGACAGTCCGCCAGCCAGACCTATTGGTCAACCTACCCTCCAAGCCAGTAAAGGTAAATTTACGAAGTCATTAAAACTGACCAACCAGCCTTATTCAGTTCAGAGGCAAGCAAAGCACTTGATGCGCCAACTCTACACGCGGACTTCACAAGGAAATGTTCCACAAGTAACCCTCCCCAGCCACTGACGACTGAACCTGACAGCCATCAGGAATCAGCAGCTGGACCTCCTCCACCACCCCAGATACGTCCATGCGAGTCTGGCCTACACTAGGGACTTGAACTCTGGAATTCATTTCCAAGAACTGGACCTCACTCTTTCAAGGTCTGGGCTTCCGCGGCCCACCCGTCGATCTCGACCTGGATCCAGATCCAGATCAAACCCATCCATGCCCCCAATCACTGCGAGTCCATTTCATAGCTGGATGCGATCAAAGCGGGCCTGGATGCGTATGAAACCACTGGCCAGCTGATAAGGGTTTCTCAACAGAAAGCGAGAACCAACCCCCACCAAACGGTGAAAAATACGGAGACCCTTCTCAGACCCTCAATAAAGCCATTCGATGTCCAAAGTACATCATCCTCACCTTGGAAGAAAACATTAACAAGCTGCATGGAAGGAATAGATGTCAAATAGGCAAAACATGCCCTTGTCCTTAAGATCATCTCTGATGACCACAATGTTCACTACAGATGGACTAGGCTACCATTTGGCATATCCTCTGCATCCAAATAATGGCAGCGCTAAATTCATATGGTGCCTCCTATGTTTCAGTATTTCCGAAGGCATCTTAATCCCTGGCTGCGGCGCCAATGACATCCAGTCGAGCACGACTGCAACCTTATCGCCGTGCTTGAGGTATTTGAACAACGTCACGTCAAGCTGAATGTCAACAAGAGGAAATTCCTTATTCACAAAGCCACCTTCATGAGCCATGTTGTCACTACGGATGGCCTCCAGCTTAACCCTGTCACAGTTAAAGCTATAATCGCCATGCCCACTCCAACCGAAAAGCAACAATGCACCGATTCCTAGGGGCTATTAATTACCTGGCAAAATTATGTTCCCAACTTAGCAGCGTCACCCAACTTCAATGCAACTTCAGCAAAGAGGACATGCCCTTCCTATGGTCAACAAGGCACCAGCAAGCCTTTGATTCAGCAAAAGTCCTAGCCACCTCTGTAGCATGCCTGGCATACTTTGACGTAACTGCGCCACTGATCCTTCAATTGGACACCTCAGACCATGACCAAGGAGCTGCCCTCTTTCAACCCATCCAACCACACAGTAGCAGCGCCCTTGACGAGTCTTCTCTACGACCCATTGCGTACAGCAAAAGGCCTAACCACTACCGAGAAGCGCTGTGCGCAAATCGAAAAAGAGTGCCTGGCTATTGTTGAAGCCCTCAACATATTCGAGCGATGGCTTTTGGGAAAATCCAACACAGAATCTATACAGACCACCAACCCCTTCAGTTGATCTTCAAGAAGGACTTCGCCTCAGCGCCCAAATGTCTGCAGAGAATGTTTCTTTTCCTACAGCGTTATAACTTTATTGTTGTATCCGTATATATATATTATACTCTTGTTGCAACGGACAATTTAAGTGTATAAAGCGACAAAGTTGACGCAATGTTTTCATGAAATGCAAACCTTTTGACCGTCATTACCTGGTTATTCTTCAAAGGAAATGCGCATTTTGAACTTAGAGAAACTTGTAATCTTGGAACATAGGAGCATGGGGTGTTAACATTACACCTAACAACCAGTGAGAAAAGGACGAATAAATTAATAAATCGGCAACTAAATTCTTACCTCCTGGGCTGTTGCTAAGATAGGAAATCTTTTCAGAAAAGAAAAGAATGTTTTGAGGTCACATTGGGTTGACTTACACCTTCCTATATCAAAAGTGGAGAAAACTGATTGCAAAATAAACTCGGATTAAAAATAGTCTTGGCAAGGACGTAGTTTGCTTTTATTTTGAAGCTAGTTAATTTGGGGTTGGAAAAGGGAGGGGGGAGAGGGGGTTAAAATGAACAATGCGATCCTTTGTTTAGCTTGATGATCTTTTTACTTCAAGTCTCTCCCCAGATCACTGAGCCTCCGATAGGCCAATCTGTTACCGAAGGATACCCTGTAAACCTTAGTTGCGTAGCATCAGGTGTTCCAACACCAAGTGTCACGAAAGGGATGAATGGGACTTACAAGTGCAAAGCAAAAAACAAAGCAAATACAATTAGTTCCTCAGCAACACTACGTGTTTATGGTAAGTTCAGTTATTATGATATTGATCATGATGATGATGACAATGAGGATGATGATGATGACGATGACTTTGATGATGATGATGATGACAATGATGATGATGATGATGTTGACGACAATGATGATGATGATGACGACGATGACTTTGATGATGATGATGATGATGGCGGTAATGATAATGATGGCCACAATTTATCCAACTTAATCAAGTTGTTGTGGTGCTTTAGAATTTAGACAGACGATCATTTACTTGAAATCAGACCCACTACCATAGTGCTGGAAAAGAAAGAAACTTCGTGTTGCATGACTCACTTGTTGTGTCCTTCTGATTCAAGGGTGCAGAAAAAAGAACAAGAGAAGATGAAACACTATAAAGACCTTAATTTAGAAGTTCAGCGAAGGATCTGGGGCGGTCGAAACAGGAAATTTAAACTATGAGGGCTTCAAGCTTGTTCTGAAACTCTATCGAAACCCCTCCGATACTCACAAGGAAACACATTTTTTTTTTCTTTTTTCATCTTCGGTCACATTTGACTTGTTTCGTTTCCATGTTTTTGTTTGTTTTGTTTTGTTTTTTGGAGTGTTTATAATATAGTTGTAGTTTTAACTCGACACTAGCATTCTAATGAATTGCCCCATTTTGAACGCAGGAAAAGCCTCTGCTCAAGTTGTTCCAGAGAAATACATAACACTGACAAAAGGAGACATCCTCACATTGACTTGCAAAGTCAACGAGGAAACAATAAACGTAATATGGAAAAAAGATGGAGACCCAATAATAGAGAGAGCAATTATAGATCCACGATTACATAAACTTGTTATTACTGAAGTTGTGGAAAAAGACAGTGGTGAATATTCTTGTGAAGCACGTAACAAGCCAGGAACTGTGGCTCGCTCTGTTGTGACAGTAAATGTCAAAAGTAAGTTGTTTAAGCAACCACATATAATTTTAATAATTAACTATGTACGGTCATTATTATAAAACACACCTCCGCTTTTTATGTTCCTCACAAACTTTTCCAGTGGTTTTTTGGTCTTCTGGGAACTAGAAATTTGAAATGAATTAAATTTGTAAGAAATTTTAAAAAAATGTTTCAAAACGAATTTGAAACAGTAGCAGTATGTTAAACATATTCTATAATTCTTTCACCAATCTTTCTCTTTCTATCTGCCTGTTTTTTGTAAATTAACACATCTACGTCTGTTTTTCCAAAGGTTATTCCCGGCCACCCAACGCGAGCAATGAACAACGTAAATTGTTGGAAAAAAAAAAATTAGCTCTCTATCTGGATAATTGGTGATATTAATTTTTATTTTTAATGCCGACCAGCAAATTACTTTCCTACTAAGCTTCTTCTATTATTATATTTCAGGAAATTCAGAGGCTCCCTCCAGCAGCTCACTGGAGTGGTACTACATTGGGGGACCTTTGGCTGCTGTCGTTTTTCTACTGGCGCTCATTTCATACATTAAAAAACGCCGTGAGACAGGTAAAATGTTACCATACGAAAATAAAATGTCTTCATATGGCAGATTGTGGCTTTTAATACGTCAGTGTTTTGGAGCACGAAGGAGCTATTTTAAGCAGGTCATATTCTGCATTTCCAGCACTGATTTTGAAGGTCCCTCTACAGTCCCGGCAAAGCCCATTACTAATCAAATTACAAAAACGTTACAAATTATATGAAACTAATCACCATGATAACCCACCTTATTCCTTCTCCCGTTGTTTGACAACAGAGTCAAATATAAGTTACACGTGGTTTCTGAGTCGCAAGCTTTAACTTAGTTAATGATGTCATTCTTACTCACAACGAAGCGATTTCTTTCATCTCTTTCCACATATCCTTTGATAATAGCCCCACCTGAGGTGCCACCTAGGCTGCAGTAAGTGAATTCTCTTTTTTTTTAATGCTCACTGTTTGAACGTGTGGTTATTTCCGAAGTTTCTAACTCTTGAATAAGTCTCAGGAGAGTAGTGATAAGCGCCACTGCTGAGCAAATGTCTTTTTATCAGTTTTTCAGTTTGGACCGATTATATTCACCATCAAGAGCACATGGGCCAAAATAAAAGGTTTTTCCTTTCGAAGCAGCGGCAGATTTCGAAGTCATTCTTATCAAATGGCAGTCAAATGTTTCCTAACATTCTTTCTGTTTTGGATTCGTCCGTCCTTCACTTGTTTTGACACCTTGTTTAGTATCTTTTTTTGTTACCAGTATGCTGAGTTGTGGGTGGCGTACTTGTAAAGAAGAAGAGGAGCTTTGACCCTTCGTCACTCTTTGTTACAGAAACTACAGTTGAAATACACTCGGAGTCTTGTAGACCGATTTAAAATACCACTCGATATATCGATTGTAGACAATACTTCGGATGGTTTTAATTAGTATTTCATTTCTCGCGTAGGAGGCACGATATTTACTTGACGTAAAATGCCGAAAAACACAGTCGGCGCTAGGTTTATTCAATAAAATCTCCTCTCTGGGTCGATGCGTCGAAAAAACGGATTTAGTAAATTAGTATCTAAATTTCACCTATTTCAATAATTTTTTCATTGGCAAGTGATAATTTTCTGAAGCACCCGGAAATGAAACGAAAAGAAAAAAATTAAAGTGAAGATATAGAGGATATCTTTACCACGTTACGTTAAACCAGATTCAAAGAAGGAAAAGATAGATAGGTAACACAGATAGTTAAAGTCTTGTTTTCATCTGCAATTATTCAGTGAAGGGGAAGATGAAGTTGAGATGGATCAGCTGAACGCAAACACAGATGGATGGGAGATTGCAGCTGACCGCCTGATCCTTCGCGAGCATATTGGCAGAGGGGCATTTGGTTCAGTGTGGCGAGCGCTACTGGGTCGTTCTCGAGGCAGACCTGGAAATCGCACAGTTGCTGCGAAATGCTACCTACGTAAGTACTTTTTCAGATCTTTCTTTCATACAAAGCTTGATTAAACTATCCTTTATTAATTTTTTGTGTGTTTCATCTTAATAAAGAATATTTCTCTTAGAACATGCTTTATTAACCTACCTGATACATAACATGGATAGCTTAAAAACTATGCGCTGTTCAGATGATTTACCATCTGGCATGTCAAATTGTTAGCGGATGGTTCCCGGGGGACCAGTTGTTAAGTCTTTTGTCATACAACGCTACTAACATACAACAGAACACGAATATCATTTGAAGTATTAGAAGCTGTGGAGAAAAATTAAAAATTTATCGGTTAAATTGCATTCAAACGAATAAAAGCGGAAAATACTACAATACTGAAAATGTCACTCCGTCGTATATTTTGTAAAATTGCTCGCTTATAAACTTTTGATAGGAAATAATATCATGTGACCTCAAAGAAACCTCGAGAACTCTGGGAAGCTCAGAGCATTTACGAATTATTGTATGATCTTTTTAATAAGATAAATGCGAGGACTATGTAATTTATGAACAGTAGGAAACAAGAAGGTGCAAACAGAACATATTCTCAAATATCTATTCGACCGGCTATTGGGCATTATAACAGGTGGAATTTCTAGGCTTAATTGCGTCTCTACTTTTGAAATTTGTCTGTAAACAAGTGCAAGGATTATGTACCATATGAACAGTAGGAAACAAGAAGGTGCAAACAGAGCATATGTTTAAAAAAAACTTTCTCAAATATCTATTCGACCGACTATTGGGCATTATAACAGGTGGAATTTCTAGGCTTAATTGCGTCTCTACTTTTGAAATTTGTCTGTAAACAAGTGCTCGGTTCAATGAGCTTGCATAGTTAATAACAATGCTCGAGATGAGCAGCGTTTTCCTAGCAAATAATTTTTTCAACGAGGATGAATCTATTTTGGAAATTTCATGTTTAATACAATGGAACACCGCGGCTTACTGAAATTCTTGTGGCAAGTATGGATTATACGGAGTTTGGTAAACTATTTTTTTTTAATGTGGACCAAATGCATTATAATTTGCGCTGGTAATATAACACCAAGTATACAACAATTCTAGATGTGGATGTTTACCACATAATTAAATGTTTCTTGACATACAAAGTCTGTTTGTTTATCTAATTTTTGTGTGGTTTCTTAGCAATCTCCGGAGAGAAAGGAAGGAAGGCCCTGCTGAGAGAGATCGAGTTATTAAAACTCTTTGGAAGGGAGGGCCATGAAAATGTTGTTAAGTTCATCGGTTGTGTTACAGTTGGAGGTAATCAGCTATTGTTATGATTATAATCAGCTAATTCACAGTAACGATAAAGACATCTCTGAGTTTAACCACTGGTACAATTACTTCTATCAGAATATCTAGTCCTTGCTAAGATGGTGTACTAATTCAATGGTCATTTCCAATTGTTTGACTGTTTTAAATAAATTTACTTCGCACTGTATGAAGGGCATTTTACTTGGAAGATGTTAGCTCTAAAATCTACATGCTAATTGTGATAAAAGCTTTAACTTACGATGGCAAGTCTTTGTCTATTTATCTGCCATCTCTGTTTTTTTTCTGTCTGTGTGTCTGTCTGTAGATTCCTATCTGCCGTATGTGTCCGTCTATTTTCTACCTGCGTGTTTTCTTCTTTCACTTTCCCTCTCTGTCTCTATTTTGATTCATTACAGATATAACCTAAGGTATAACTAGATAAAGCATGTACAATTCAAACACGTTTTGGAACTTCTGCACTGCTTGCCGTAAAATAATTTTCTTGTTTTTCCCTTTTAGCTCAGCCAATACTTATCATGGAGTACCTGTGGAGAGGTGACTTGCTGGGTTATCTTAGAAAATCCAGGGGGGTTTTCGACCAATATCATCATGGGGTCGGAAGGGTCGACCTCTTGACAACATATGACATGGTGCTGTTTGCTAAACAGATCGCACATGGCATGACTTTTCTCGCGTCCAGAGGGGTAAGTGCTCAAACTCTTTCTGGTCAGCATGTGATCCTGCATGTGTTAAAATGGCATGACTTCCAAATCGTCAAAAGAATACCACATACGGCTAAAAATATCCAGCACATTAGAGTCACTATTTCACAGAGAAATAGTCTGACATTAGCATGATGTTAAACTTTCTACCTATATTCTACTTTTTTATTTTATGTAGTTTATCAAAGTCCCTTTTAGCAGATCATATCATTTTTTGTTTTCAATTTCAGATAATTCATCGCGATCTTGCAGCTCGTAACATCCTTCTTGATGAGCATCGTGTCTGCAAGTTGACTGACTTTGGGCTCTCTTATCAGGATTTCAAATACGGCCCAGGAAATGCCAAGAGGGTAATTTTCAAAATTTTTTCATCATTTAGTCAACTGGTTTTGGGGCTGCTGGTATGGAAGATAAAAATGTGAAGAATTAAAATATTACTGTCCTTACAAACCTTTCTTTGCAGTTATACAGTTTTACTGCAAAACATAATTCCCTTCATTGGGAAGCCGTTCTAAGGGTATCGAAACTTTCACAGAAAAAAAAAATTGTACCTAGGGGGTGAACACGGGAAATAAGAAATCCGGAAGAGATATCGTTCTCTGAATAGCAAAGATACAAACTCGAAGGGCAAAGAAACACTGGAGATTTAAAGGAAAAGGAGTGTGTGAATTACTTTCACAGAATTTGTACAAAGGTGTCTACTGCTCTTGACTTTATCATGATATCCTCACATCACGGTTTTAATCTTATATGCAAAATAATTTAGAAGTTGTATACAAGCCTCTTTAGATTTCAAATGTTTATAGTATTTTGGTCACTCATCCAGGGATGTATCCCAATCAAATGGACTGCACCCGAGATTCTCTTTGGACATGTGGAACAGCTGTCAACCAAAAGCGATGTGTACGTACTGTACTGGTTATTATCTACATATATTCTAAGAGTGAACATTTTTTACGATTCTACCTTAACTTAGGGAGGAAAACTAGAATATTCAGTGCTCTATTGATTAGAGGGTCATTAGGAAACGTCAAGCTGGGGAACAGCTGAGGTTACAGCTGTAGTATGAGACTTTACATCAATATTAAGTTTAACGAGCAATGTCCAAAATCTGATTAGGATAAGAAAAGACGAATGAAAGGATGAGTGGATAATCAAACAAATAAATATGGCGTTTCTCTTGAGGAGGTTGCTTATATCTTGATGGCATGTTTTTAAACATCCTAAGTATCTCAGTGATTATTATCTTTCTACCCCAGTTGAGATATATTGTCATCCTTCCTATAGTGGCGCTTCTCCACCGTTAGCTGGACCGCAAAAAATCCACTGATCAATACAAAGTACCGCACCAAACTTTGGGAACGCCTTCTTCTTTATTATTGTATTATACCGTGAAACTAAAAATTGATTTAAGAAATTAGGGACTCACAAATAGATCAAGGAATGCTTCAAATAAATCAAACTTATATTATTGCCGGATCTGGCGAGAGTTGATATCGATCGAGCCTTTCCTTCCTTTCCTTTACTAATTCCTTTCCTTACGAGCACGAGTGCTTACCAAAAACTGATCAAAGGGCCTTTTATCAAATATATTGAATTACACTTAAGAGCGCGTGACGAGCCATCTAGTGTGACTTTAAAATTATTAACCAAATCAAACAATGAACAGAAACTCGTGCTATAGACGACTTTCATAATGGCGGACAGCACGAAAGTCCTGGATCGAGTTGCATGAAAACGAGGTCAGAAAGGCCAACTCATCGCGTCGCGTCTCTCTTCGTTTGCAATGGCGACCGTTTCAAATCCGACATTTCTTACGGAAAACGATATACCTGGCGCTTCTCTTCTTGGAAGAAACCCTGAGGAATTAAAAACCTCAGAGCTTAGATTTTGGCTTAAATGTCGCGGAGATGTGGCGAAAGGATTGAAGACAAAAGCAGAGCTGGTGAAGCGAGTGCGTGACCACATACGAACAGGTAAAGATAAACATGTTGTGGATCCAGATCCTCACAAAATATAAAGCCGTAGGAAGGAAAAGCAAGGCACGAATTCTGAGCCTGACCTGGCAGTAATGAATCAGTACAGTTTCCCAGCTCTGGATGGGGAACTTCACTTGAAAAGATGCCTATGTTCACCCGGCTTCAAATGAATCGCCATATTTTGAAGTCTGGAAAAGCTATCGCCAATGTGGAACATCACACCGTTCCGACCGGATAAGTAAAGGCCAGGCGCTTTTTAGACGACGAATCCCTAGAGGATATTGAATGTGCGAGTAATTCCAGCTACTTTTTCTTTAAAGGGAAGTGTTGCCACAGTTTCAGGAAAAGCGACCCTCCTCATAATCTGAAAATTGCCCTGTGTATCTTGTCAGGAGAAGTGGTGAGTGCTTCATGTTCATGTGTGGCAGGAAAAGTTGGATTCTGTAACCACGTATTGGCGATGATGTTTAAGATGTGCATGTTCACTTTATTTTCTTAAAATACTTCTAAAGATCTGAGTGAGGAACAGGATCAACAGTCCTCTATAGCTTGTACTTCTCAACTCCAACAGTGGCACAAAAAGAGCGGGGGAAAGAACATTGCACCTCAACCACTAATGGAAGTAGAAGTGAGGAAAATAAAGGACACTGAATCCACTCCGCGTTCCAGTATCAAACCTCGTTTGTATGATGCCAGAATGAAAAATACACACAATCTCGCTACAGAGCAAAATTTCAAGGAGCAACTGAGAAAAATTGATCCCAATATGGGCCTTGCTCAAATGGCTAATGAACTGACTGATCAGGCAGGTGCTGGATATGTGGAAACCAAGTTTGGCAAGTTTCAAGTTGGCAGTTTCTTGTCATATCAAGTGACACTTACAGAATCACACTTCAAGGCCAATGCATCTATTGACTGCATTCCAAGACTTGATCAAGTCAATAAAGAGGCCTTAAATTATCCAAGGTTTCCTCTAAGGGACATTTACAGCATGGTAATTCCTGCTAATTTGTCTGAGAACAACCAAAAACTTTTACAATCTTTAATTTTAGATGAAGATGAGATCAATGAGCTGGAAACTCAAACAAGGAGACAAGCTGAATGCTCAAAATGGAATGAAGAGAGAAAATTTAGATTTACAGCGTCACAGTATCATTTGATTTCTAAACGAAAAAGAAACCATGCTAATTTTGCAGAGCAACTGATGAATCCCACACCAGTTACTTCTAAATATTTAGAACATGGCCAAAAGTATGAACCAGTTGCTCTAATGGAGTACGAAAAGTTCATGTTCAACAGAAGAACACCTGTTAAAGTACTGCCCTGTGGACTTGTGGTGTCAAGAGGATGTCCAATTTTAGGTGCCACCCCAGATGCACGAGTAGTTGACTTTGGCTGTGTTGATTACTTTGGGATAGCAGAAGTAAAATGCCCATACACCAAATATCATGTTACACCCCTTGATGCTTGCACAGATGAAAAGTTCTTCATGGAACAGATTGGTGCTTCTAAATGTAAAGTAAAGGAAGACCAGCAGTACTATGCCCAAGTCCAGGGACAGATGGCAGTTGATATTATGTTAGGTTGTGCATTACAGCAGAATGCACACACTGCCTACATCTGGTTTACAATTCCCATTTGATGTAGTGGAATAACTCTGTCCCACATGTGAAAATTCTTAATCTTATTGATGGCACGTTCAACATGTATCCGTAAACTTGCAAGTGCCTGTGTTTTTACCACATCTTCTGCAGCCATCTGTGAAGATGCTCCAAGAAAGGGTGGTAAATTTAAACTAACTCCTAAAGGCAACAAATCCTGAATTGTGAATCCCTTATCTGCCATAATGGAGTCTTTGTCATCAAATGGTAGATTTAAAAATCCACTCCTTCTGACAATTTCCCGATCAGAAATAGAACCTGTATACAGTTGACTTATGAATGTCACTGCTCCACCGGGATAAATACCAACCAAACCTTTCAAAGTTGTGTTATTTTTGTAAGCACTGAAAAGTTCTCCATTCAACTGCAAGCTGCTTGGCATTTGATATTTAACCTCAGTACAGCCAATTATGACTCTAGTATATTTGTACTTTCCCTCAAAGATGCGGGCATTGTTGTATCGATTACTTTTCTGCTGGGCCAAATGTTTATTTGTCCAAACTTAAGGAACGTAAAATTGACTCATGTGATAAATATTCTACCTACTGTGGATGCTGATATATCAAATAACTGACCCAGATGGTGTTCTGGGAGTCCTTGCCTTAGTCTACACATGACCATAAAAAATTCATCAAGTGGCCTTAAAGATCTAGCTCTCCCCCTCTTTGTTAAAAGTCCGTCCTCATCGTAAGCAGACTCAGTGTTGTTGTCAGTTTTTGACCTCTTTCCCCAGGATCAAGATACTTGAAAACAGCCATTAAAGTGTCCCAGCTTTGAAAGCCAGTATAAAAAGCAGCATTGGAATCTTTTGCCTTACAGTTTTCAAAGTTAAACAATCTTTTACTAAGTGAGTCACTTTGCCGCTGGGTATCTTGCAGTTTGCACTTGAGTTCGTCAATTTCCTGTTCGAGTTTAAGAAATCTTCTTGTCATTGTTGTCAATAATTTCTCTCAAGTATGCCTCCTGGTCGGTAAAATCAGTTTGTGTTCCAACCTCGACTTTTAAGCTACAATCTGGTAGATGTGGGACAATTTCGTTTGAAGATTGGTTTGATGATTCGTTTGATAATTCGTTTGATAATTCCTCAACAACAACAGCTGGGGAAGAAAATGTCTGTGAATGCACTTTTCGAAGCTGTCAGTTCGAAGTTTCTTTCCGCCGGCTCCTTTCTTTTGCGAGGCGATGTTCGAATCCAGGGAAACACAGAAGGTACAACTCCATCTCTTAATTCATTCTTTCCGGCGAGAGATTTTTTAATATCACCTTCCCTAAAATGCCGGGAGCATATATTTGTATATTCAGTCACCTTGAAGTGCTTTCCTTCGTCTCTTCTTATCGCGTGTAGCCATTTCTTCTTCATCTGGTTCTCGGTCGGAAATTTAAAATAAGACACCTTTGTCCCATCCTCTTTACGGTATCCTTTCTTCGTACATTCTGGGACACAACAGTGAGTTGGCATTTCCTCTGCTTGAAAATAATTCGATAGAATCGAGTCAAATGTTGTCCTCAAATGTGGCCTTTCTGACCTCGGTTTCATGTTTAACTTATTACCAGTCTCGCGTGCCGTCGGCCATTATGAAAGTCGTCAATAGGGGCACTTACACTTCCATTTCTTTGACAGGTGGTCCTACGGCATCGTCCTGTATGAAATCTTCACTGTCGGTACTTAACTCATTTGTTACTTTGCATTCGGGAAATATACCTGCCGAAATTGCACGCACAATTACTAATTGATGAGTGATACCGAGCGGACAAAAGAGCATTGTACGATAGAGAAGTTGAAGCAGTACTCAATGTCGCTGATAAATAAAATTATGACGATGCATAACAACTTGACATAAAACTTAAGTTTAAGTAGAACTGAAATTATTTATAGTACATTATTGAAAAACCTTAAATCCATCGCCACACTTCAATTTGCTTTTTCTTACAGTACTCTTTTATCTAATGTAAAACGGAAATGCATTTCAGTAATTAATTGTCGTTTTCACAGAAGAATCATTTCGATCGCGCTGAGAGGAATAGAAGTGATTTCAACAAAAAAAGTGTGCTCTTTTAACGAACAGAAAAAACCTTTTTTTTTTCCACAGGAGGCATTCCTTACGAAGGATGGTCTCAATCCACGACAATGAAAAACATCGAAGAAGGTTATCGTCTGCCAAAGCCCGAACATATCGACGACAGTTTGTAAGTGTTGCTTCCTCTGTGTGGAATGTTATATAAGTCAAGAGCAATATCGATTGCTGCTGTGGTCAGGTGTTTTTGATACACTCGGTCTGAATAAGTAGCCTTCCTAAGAAATTAATTTTATCTTGTCAATACAAAAATTTAAATGAAAAGTTGTTGAGTCAAATAAAGAATACGGTGGGTTTTTCATCGTAGAATTCGTTTGAGCTGGAATGTAATGAGATAAACTTAGCATTTCAGTTATTTTTGTAACTAGTTGTGGTTTCTCAACTTTGCTACTTGCAATATTAATGCCTATCGCGGAATTAATGTGATCATATGTCCCTGTGTTTTTCTATAGATACGCGGTTATGTTAAACTGCTGGAAATACGAAAGCGCCAGCCGGCCACACTTTGTGAAGCTCTACCAAATAATGGATACATATATTAAAACAAAGGTTTGCCATACAGCGTCTAATTCAGGATATACTTCAGCAATTGAAATTGGTACCCTACCAAGTCAATTGCAAATTTCTTTTTACGTCAATGTGATGTCAAAACGCATTAACCACCCTGCCGCCAACAATTTGTGAATCCAGTTTCATCATGAACCAATGTTACTTTTAAACATACGCAAGTGTGGTTACGTAATGTCAGTCTGGATCATCCTTATTTTCTCTCTGTTGTCTCCACACAAGAAAGAACGGAACAGATCGTAAAATAACATTTTTGGAAAACTTTGACAGAAAGGAAGACCTTACCTGACTTTTATTCTTATCAATTCACGCAAGTACTAATGGTTCTTGTCTTTGTGATTGATATCTGATCTGCTCTTTTTTTTTCTTTTTAGTGACTCATTTTTGGAATTTCTTTGTGGAATTTTTGAAATTCATTCGTTCAAGATTTTTTAACTCATGCAGTTCCTGATTACCTTCTAATCTTTTTCATAGACATATGTAGATATCTTTGACGATGACAAGTATGATCAGGATAAGTACAACTTTGTCGATGACCGTGGAGCTGTTGCAAACCCAGAAGATGCAGGACCGGACGAGCTAGCAGCAGCTGCAGCAAATCCCATCGGTGAAGTGGGTGAACTCGGTGCTACGGCACATCCCTTTGTGGTTGCAGTGGACGATGATGCTACAGCTTTCCCTCTTGGAATTAACGTAGGAGACGAAGGAGCACCTGCAACAGATCCCGACCGTGAGGTGGGTGAACACGGTGCTACGGCACATCCCTTTGTCATTACAATAGACGATGGTGCTCAAGCTTTCCCTTTCGCTATTAACGTACCAGAGAAAGGGGCAGCTGCAACAAATCTCGCCCATGAAGTGGGTAAGCACGGTGCTGCTGCACATCCCTTTGTGGTTGCAATTGACGATGGCGCTACAGCTTTACCCTTCGCTATTAACTTACAAGACAAAGGGGCAGCTGTAGGAAATCTCGCCCGTGAAATGGGTAAGCACGGTGCTACGGCACATCCCTCTATGGTTGGAATTGACGATGGTGCTACAGCTTTCCCTCTCGGAATCAAAGTAGAGGATCTTGATTCTTTAGAATACAATCCCCTGATCGAAAAAGAAGGCCACAGTGATTCCGTCTTCCCTCCAGATATTCAAATTGATGACGAAGAAGGTGTAACAAGTGAACCTGAAAATAACGTTGGTTATGAAGGTGCTGTAGCAGTTCAATCTGAAAAGGAGGCAGTAGAAGAAGAACCTGAGACTTGCCAACTAGAGTACACGAAGGATGAACAAGACGATCTTGGAAACTATATGGACAACCAAAGTGATGCTGTAGACCTTCTTGACGGAGAGGCTGGCGTACAAGAGTATGATGGTAATCAGCTTACTGCTGCGGATACGGACGAAACTGGAAATGACGAAGACGAGTAGTCATCTGAAGCAACTCCTCTTGTGCAGGACTGAGGCTTAAAAGCATAATTGCTGAACCTCCATGGTTGTAGTCTCACAACACTCTGTGGTAATTTGTAGTTTAGATTTCGAGAACTGCAGCCTCAATATTTCATAACTTTTGATTTTAAGATGCAGTTTTTATCGTACTTTTACTTTAGTAATGCTTTAGTAGTGATGATAACCATTTTCATAGTTTATAAATGGAGGTTAACGTGGAATTTCCTTGAAAGAAAAATTTGTTTATTTACTTCACTTTTGCATTTCTTCGTTTACTGTTTATTCACTTGGTGCACTTGTCAGTGCTTTGTTGTTATTATTGACTGTAGGCTGATAGAGACAAAAAAAAACAAAAAAAAGAGAGAAATTGCTGTTGAGATAATTTCTATAACTGATCAAGTCAGAAATGCTGCGTAAATTTGTGAGTGTTGTTCCTAGTATAAGTAATATTTCTTAATCTAATTAAGAATAATTAATTTGTTGTAAAACACTCCCTAAATGCTTCAATAAACTTATATAAGCTAAACTCGTTTTGTCTACTCCATTCATTGTAGCAAAATTGCTGGTCTGGATCTAACTGTAGATTTGAAGGACACCATAAACTAAAATAACATTTAGCCTCCTTCAAAGAGTAAGATTGACGAAAATTCAGTTGCACTGCGTCAGTTCTGATTAGTGTATATATTTTTCTATACCCAGCTTACGCTCGCTTGGCAACCAGAAGTAGCATATTTTAAGAGAGTTATAAACCGAGTTCTCTACTCCAATTTGTTGATTAGATAGGCGGTATTAAGCTGATCAGTCTTGCGTGTTGTCATTTCACATCACTGCTTGTAATCATTGTCTGAGAAAAGTGTTTTAGTAGTTTGAAACATAAATGACCCCATTGTGATGAGTCTTAGTGCAGAAGTTGGCCGAAGGCAGATATTCCAAGTGCCAAGGAAGCATTGTTTTTTACTTTTTATCTCCACAGTTTCGGGCATTTTGGCGTCTCGTGATATTGTGTTTGAATATTGTTGATACTAATCGTGCCTTCCTGGTGCACTACGTCAGCAAATATGTCGAGTTTAATCAAGCAATAGATGGCGTTTTCGAGAAACACAGTCGAGCCAATGTAATAATGGATTCTCATTCGGTCATTTTTTTCAATTTTGTTTTTTCCACGAGCACTTACATATAACCCTAACATTGCCTAACCCATTGCTTCAACTTTCATCGTGAGAAGTACTGTGCTATGATTTTCAGAGAAATAGGCAATGGCAGTTTTTTCTTACTGTCCTTCGTTGTGTTTCTTGACATGAGCAAGGCCTTTGACAAGATAGACGATGGCATTCCGGAGTGGTTTAGTTCATCATTAATCCATCTGATAGAAAACAATTAGTGCTCACAAATTCTGAGTCCCTGACCCTCTGGAATCCGGAGTGCCACAAGCGGTTGTTCCATGACTTTTTTTGTTCAGAATTTATGTAAATGACTTTTCATATGCCCCTCAATCTTGTTTTACTGAATATTATTGGATGATACTAAACTTCAGATTTCTCTCCCAGTTCAAGGCTGGGCTAAGACAACAATTTTCTCTGAGACGGGGAGTGTCCTTTAAATGAAATTGAAATAAAAGGTCGGTTGGGACTCCGATGTCGATCTCAAAAATTTTTGTTTTTGCCTTGTTTTCGGTTTTTATCTATCTGACTGTTCAGTATGCTTATTCGGAAGTATTTATCGTTTAGACAGGATTTTGAAATTTCTGCAGACGAAATTTAATTTAAGAGAGGATGTCAACATCCATCGGACAAATTTGAAATAGTGGTAAGTCGCCCAAAATTCGTTTTCAATCCAACTTTCATATTTTGTAGCCCAATATGTTCTAATAATTGTGGTGTAGTTTTTTTGTACCTGAGTTGTGTGACTTCATGTAACGAATCCACTCGACATCCGGCATTTCTGTCAACATAATCCTTTGTTTTATCACCTAACCTTAATCCCCTGTCATTATTGAAGCTGGCAAAGAAATATTTATTTTTTGGTGAATATTTTTGTCCGACATACTTTTTTATGACAGAATCTACTGAGCTAAGAGCTTTTAAAAGACAAAAGGACGGTTATAAAGTTACTGTAAAAATTTCCTTGTGTATTTGCGTTGTTCTATCTTGAGACGAACTCAAAGTCCGGCAAAATTTACTTGATAGCGATTATGAAATATACATGATGTGCCTACTTGTCGCCACTGCTAACTGGCAAAAATCATTACAATTTGTAAAAAAGTCTAACGTAGCACCCTTATCTTGTTTAGTTATGATTTCATTAGCCGTTTCGATTATTATATTGCGCCTGGGTGTTACTTTTTGACAGGAGCCCAGGTTTTGCGTTGTGCTTTCCCCTCCCCCATTTATATCATGAGATAGTCACGCAATAATTGATACCGACACAAATGAATATTTACCATGTATAAGGATTTTTGTTTATGTTGAATTGAAAATATTAGAACATGTGCTTTTTTTGGTCACTAATCGTTGTTTCAGCGGCAGCGAAGCAGTTAGAAGCGGGTTGTTGCTTCAACGCTATTGAAATTTATAGTATTCAGACAGGCGAGCAAAGCGTGATGCTCTGGGAATAAAAATTTTTAGGGGCCTTTGAATGATATCCGAATGAGCTTTGTTCAAGAACGAGTTCATACCGGTTGCCACGTAGCTACGTTCCCTGGCATTCGATTGTGTCATATCGGTCATTGTTAAAACTGTCTTTGTTTTGATGCTACTTTTAGACATAGGAAAAGTATGTCAGACAAAAACATTCACCAAAAAATAAATATTTCTTTGCCAGCTTCAATAATGACAGGGGATTAATCATAGATGATAAAACAAAGGATTATGTTGACAGAAATACCGTAGGTCTGGTATATTCTTTACATGAGGTCACACAATTCGGGTAATATTCACAGTGGAAATTTGCACATTTGAGCGGTCGAACGAAAAAAATCATTTCTCGAAAACTAAAATAAATTTTTACAAAAAAAACTACACCACAATTATTAGAACATATTGGGCTACAAAATATGAAAGTAGGAGTGAAAGCAAATTTTGGGTGACTTGCCGCTGTTTGTCTGATGCATGCTGACATTAGCTCTTAACAACGACAATATGCACCACATACTTTCCCACTGGTAGGCGTATAAAGCAGATTTGATTCAGGTTTTGGGTCGAGTAGATTGGCTTCTCTCCGTAAAACCTCTGCATTCTCATAAAGTCCTAGTCCAAAACAACCACACCTTTGATTAACAAATGAGTCAAACACCCTCAAGACTAGAACAAATTTAATTCAAGTGTCCAAAGTAATCTGGGACGCTTCGCCTTTGCTCTGCTAAGGGCTGTAATTGATCTTGACAACTCACGCCACATTCTTAACCAATCAGATTCAAAACTAAAACCAGTTGCGATTTTGCCGCCGCGCTTCAGAAGGTTGCTAATTTTTACTTTCAATTCTCAATGGCTCCACGTGATATTTTTCTTCGTT